TTGTGTCCACTGCACCAGTCGCTGCAGCCACCCTGTTGTCCTGAGGGGGGCGCCCTTCATACCTATCATGCCAGCTCCTCCTCCTTCTTCTTTTTTTATTTTTTGACAGGCAGAGTGGACAGTGAGAGAGAGAGACAGAGAGAAAGGTCTTCCTTTGCTGTTGGTTCACCCTCCAATGGCATGCTGCGGCCAGCGCACTGTGCTGATCCGATGGCAGGAGCCAGGTACTTATCCTGGTCTCCCATGGGGTGCAGGGCCCAAGCACTTGGGCCATCCTCCACTGCACTCCCTGGCCACAGCAGAGAGCTGGCCTGGAAGAGGGACAACCGGGACAGAATCCGGTGCCCCGACCGGGACTAGAACCCGGTGTGCCGGCGCCGCAAGGCGGAGGATTAGCCTAGTGAGCCGCGGCGTCGGCCCCAGCTCCTCCTTCTTAGGACCGCATTCCCATCTGCATGGTGCCATCGGCCTCCCGAGCTGATCAGACTTCATGCTCTCTTCCTGGCCCACTGTTTAGGTTTTCTGTTGATTCTCCGACCTCCTGAGCTCAGAGATGGGCTGTTGCAGCGTCTCTCAGTGAGGGAGAAGCCAAGGTCAAGGCTGTCGATGGCCGGGCTGCAGCTTGCCTCTTCGTCTCTTGTCTCACAGTGTACTAGGCTGCCCTCTCGCTGCCAGTGCCTCTCTCCATGGAGTCCTGCAGGGACACGCGAAGCCTACCCCGCTGCAAGGAGGTGGGCAGGGCCCTCCATCCCCTGCTTTGGGCTTTCTTCTTCCTGATTCTCTCTTGTCTCTGTGAGTGGGAATCGTACCTCACTTCCAGCCTGCTTTGAGAGAAAGGCCAGAGGATCACCAGGGGCCACGGCTCTGGACAAAGCTGCTTCTCCGGGAGGTGGGAAACCTGGAATCTAGGTGCGGGGGCTGCACTGACCCCTCTGGCCAGCGGCTTTGCCTCGCCAGGCCTCAGTTTCCCAGTCTTGTTTTGGGGGTGCAACTGTGCCTGCCCCTATCCTGCCTCAGGGGGCTGGTCTCAGCCTCGAGGGGGTCCTGGGGGTGGTAGAACTTTGTGAGATGCGAGCCCAGTGTGTTCCTGTTGACTCTCTGTGGGTGAATTCCTGGCTGCCAGCACTCATTCCGGGCAGGTGTCATTTACTTGGGTCTTGGGGACCGACCTGGACTGTGAGTGCCTTCTGTGCCTGCTTGGCATAGAGTCTGCAACTCTGGTTCCCTGGAAATGGGGTCCAACCCTGCTCAACACCCATCCACCCGGTGTCCCTACCCGCTCCCTCCTCGCCACTTCTCCCTGCAGGGGTGGGAGTCAGCGGCTGTCCATGCATCAGCTTAAACAGGCGGCAGCTGAGGCCACGTGGCAAGATGCCATCAACAAGAGACCAGGGCTTCTGCCTGTCATGTTGCACTATTGTCTTACCAAAATGCATATGGGCTGCACAGTGTAATGATTTCATAGTGAATAAATGGTATTCATTAAGCCACTAAGAGAAAAGGAGGAGGAATCTGCATTGATTTGAGTGCATTCTTTGCAATACAAACGATGTAGGTTTTTATCACTGGAAAAAAAAAATCTCAATTGCGTTTCTTGAACCAAATGAAGCTAGGGCATTTTCACACCTTGATTAGAAAGAAAACAAAGCACAAACCCAGAGAGAAGAAAAACACCAAGCCGTTCAGCACCGTGGCCAGTAGAGTGTCCCGCGGATACACAGGACATCATGTGTGCACACATGTGTGGCGTCATGTGTGCACATGTGTGACCACACAGCCTCGGCACATTTTTCTCCCAGCAGTGACTTGCAAAGCAGGGGGTCCAGGGCCGCTGGGCGCTGGAGGGGCCCAGAGCAGTCACTCTGTCGCCACCACCCGGTGGAGCTAGCAAGGGTGAGAGGGGAGCAGCTTAGGAATGGCCCTTCCCAGAGCCTGCGGGGAGCCACACCCAGACAGTCACTCCCTGTGACTCCTACCTGGCTTACCCGGCCTGCACTGGGCTCCTTGTCTCGGTCAGGTGGGTGGTCCTGGTCCCTGACCGCCCTGCCCAGGGCTGCCCCCAGGGGTCTTCCCCAGACTCCAAAGCTGAGGGCCTGTGGGCCCCGTGTGGGCTGCATACTGGTTTATTCGGACCCCAGTTTTTCTCGGTACTTCAATGGCTGCCATTATGGACATGTCGAGTGTTTTCATCTTAGCAAACCCTGGCTTTTTTTGCAAACTTGGAAATGTGACCGCACTGGGCCACCATTGCCGGGGCCGGCCGAGTCCCCTCTGTACCCCGGTCCCCACCTACCAGCCTCTCTCATGTCCCTGACTCCCTGGGCCTGTGGTACCTGTGTTTGCGATCTGTGCTCGGCTCTGTCTTCATTTTATGGATGAGGAACCTGGGCTGGTTTAAAAGTAGCCTCCGAAGCTCTAAGGGTACATTTCTTCTCCAGCTCCAAGCCCCACTGGCCCAAACCAGCCAGGCCAAGAGGAGATGCTGAGATGCGGGAGCTCAGCCCCCACTCCCACTCCCCCCACGTGGAATGCACCCTCCCCGCCCCACAGCTGTGCATTTGCTCAGGTGACAGCTCCCAGGCAGCCTGGGCTGATTTTTCCACCCAGGGGCAGGGGTGGGTTTTGTTAACAGTAAGTGACAGCCTCTCGCGCGGCTCCTTCATAACCATTCTTCAGCTCTCCCGCTGGGCTGGGGATCCAATTTTCACACAACAGGCTGCCTAGCAGATGGGGACCCAGGGTGGCCTCCAGCTGAGAGTTTAGGTGCTGGAATGTAGGTGGCTTTTAACCAGGCTCGCTGCTGCCAGCACCCAGCCTCAGAGAATTTTCATGGAAGGTGTGGAGCCAAATCCCTCTCAAAAACCCAACAACAGCCAAACACACACACACACACACACACACACGCCCAACAAAGCCACAGTTTTCTTTGCTCCCCTAAACCAGATGGCAGATGGGATGGAACCAACGGCACACAGATTCAATTGTTTGTTTATTTAACGTTGTGTGTAATATGGATCTGTGGGCCCTTGCAAGGAAACACCAACCTTCTAAGCAAAGAGGTGACGAAGCTGTCAAACCTCAGCGCAGCCGAAGGAGGAGGCGCTCCCGGGGGGGCTGGCGTAGACAGGGACCAAGGAGACCCAAGCGCAGGGCCGGCTGCCTGCATCTCTGGCTGAGAACCCAGGGGCCCTGGGTGAGCGCTGCCTGGTGCTCGCTCCCTTTCTGTTGCTTGCCTTTTGTGGATTCCGCCACGGGAGGAACGCGTGTGCGTCATTTCTGAGACAGCTGTGCCGGCATCGCTCGGGCTGCTGACGCCAAAGACCCTGGAGAGAAAGGCCAGGCCCCTTGGGAAAGGCGTTCTTCCGCCGAGCCCCCGAGGGTTTGTGAGAGCAGGGAAGGAGTCTCTGGAGACGCAGCGGTGGTCTCTTTGCTCTTCAGCTTCTGGGGGGCGTGGGGCTAGCTGAAATAATCACCTGTGTCGATTAGGATTCTTTTGGTTACAAGTGGCAGAAAGCCAACCCAAACTATTGTACATAGGGAAGCGATTCGGCCAGGAAAGTGCAAATGGCTGCAGAAGGCCGGGTGCACCCTGGGCCTCCCTTTCTGGATCTCAGCCACCGTAGCTCCACATAACCCCAAACTGCTCGGGACGCTCATCCTAGCAGCCCAGCAGCCCAGCAGAACAAGAGCCTCCTACCGGCTCTGTCTGATTGGCTCTGCTTGACATATGTGCTCACTTTCTGACCAATCATGATGGCCACAGACTTGAGGTGGCCCTGACTGGCCAAAACTGGGCATTGTGAGCTGGGGGTGGGGGTGGGGGAGAGGCACCCTGCACATGGCATAGCATAGATCCCCCGTGGAGGAAAGGGAGAGGTGTCCACTTTAGCTTGTGTCCTCTTCCTCAATTCATGTATGTCTTTTGTTAACTGATGCTATCATGTGTGTGTCTTTCACAAGGAGCAATCCTAAAAATCATTAACAACGGGAGCAATCCCACTTTGAAAAAAAGCAAACAACAGAGTCGATTCTAGAACATACTGCGCAGGGCAGTTCTTGGCGCAAGTGTTGTGCACTCATTGACGAAGAGTGCCGGAGCCAGAGGGGGCGGTGGAGCTCAAGCTGTTGGTAACATTTGGGTACAGATGAGATCATGGAGGCACAGAGCGGGGCTGCTTTGCCCAAAGCCTCCTCGTAAGTCCTTTGCAGATCCCAAAACCCTGACGTGGGGCCCAGCGTTCTTTCTGGCCCTCGTCTGACTACTGCCTCTCGCCTTTCCGAGTCTGTTTCCCTGGGCTGGGTTCCACGTGGACTCCTGAGACCCTGGCTCTGGAATCTTGCTAGGAGTTGACTGGCAAAAGTTTCCTACTAATGTGTCAACTCGTGAGAGCAGAACTGAATTTCCCAGGACTGTGTGGGCCCTCCAGATCCAAAAGAATTCACACGCGAGAACGACCTCTGTATTTGTTGATTGTTGAGCAGCCGATCGCGGCCAGGTCCCGACACATGCTTTTTATTTTATAGTGGCTGTGCGGTCTGAGACCACGCACGATGTAGCTCGTGCCTCCACCTGGGGTCTCACAAGGTGCTGGCCAGGTAGCATTCTGGGAAACACACCCACTTTGGCGCTCCCTCCGGCTGTACTTAGGAGCTCCAGTCTTTTGTTGGCGGTGGGCTGGAGGCTGACTTCTGGTTCCAGAAACTTCCGGCCATGGCCCCATGGCTCACGGGCTTGGTCAACACCACTGATTCATTCATTGGGTCAGCAGGAAGGATGGCTCGTTCACCGTCTCCACACGCAGTCCAGCGGGGACGACGAACTTCTGCTAGATGCTGGCCGTACAGGAAGGCTTCGCCGCTGAAGGGCGTGAAGTCATGAAGAGAGTCACAGTAAGGGGCTGGAGCAGTGGCAGGATGAGCCTGGGGGCTCCAGGGAGTGAGGAACCCCCAGCCAGGATTCCGAGCAGAAGCCTGGATTGTCTGTGCTAAGGAGAAGGCCCCCCCACCCCCCGGCCACCAGCAATCCCCGGGGAAGGCAGACGTTCTTAGAATTGTTTCAGGCAGCCGGGCTGTCAGGATGATGGGTTCTGCACCCAGCAGCTGAACAAAAGAAGAAAACAGTCCCAACAAGGCCCTTCTCACTGCCTCTGACCTCGGAGTGGAGCTGTAAGTGCAAAATCTGTCATCTATTAATCTGTTAGAAGTCGACAAAAGGGACTTTGATCAGGGGTTGTTTCTCCCCCCCGTCTCAAGTTTCCTGATGACACACAATCACCCGCTTCAGCCAGAGCCCGGAAGCGCGGCCGTGGGCTTTGGCTCATTTCAACCCCAGCGTGCCCCCCATCCCTCCCCCCGGGGCTTTCTCCCCACCCCGTATTAACTGGCCTGTAAGTGGTTACATATGTTCCCTCTTGCGTGCCAGTCGGAGTCTGTTGTTTGAACTTCCCAGCTATTTGGGAACACAGAAGCGGTGGGAAATGGAACCTTCCAGAACAAGTCACACTCACTCTGACCTCCCGAGTTTTTACTTCCTCTGTCGCTTTAGGACTTGTGCCCCTCCCCCTCACTCCCACGCCCCGCCATCGTGAGGTGGGCCCACCCTAACTGTGCAGCCCTGCTCTTAGAACCGGGGAAGCCAGCAGGGACCTTAGGGTCACCCAGACCAGAGCTTCTTGTCTCGAAGTTAAGGACACTGAAGATCAAAGAGGGCAGGCAGATTTTTTCCGAGGGAAATATTTGTTCAGAGTCTATTGTGTGCTGATTTCCTAGTTACATTCTCTCATTTCGTCACCCAAAGAACAAGTTGGGGATCACATGGAGAGATGGCTGCAGACTAAGCAGATGGCCCTAGGACTGCGCTGCCTAGGATTTCGCCCTGCCCTGAGCACTGCCCAGCTGGCTCGTCTTGGGCAAGTTGTTCAGGTTCTCTGGATGCTAGGGTGCTGGTCAGCACAGGGCTATCATGAGCGCCGACTTCAAAGGGTTGTCGTGAAGCTTCGGTGACTGTTGTTAAAGGCTTAGATCCGTGTATGGTACACAGAAAGCGCTCATCAACTTGGAACAGGTGCTGCTCCGAGAGGCAGGGTAGCACAGGGGCTTTGAGCCTGATTCTGCAGCAGGCTGTTCTTGGTTTGACTCTCCGCTGCACCAGTGACTGGTCACATGAGTCTCGCATTTCCATCTGCCATCTGCAAAATGAGGGGATATTCCTGACGGCTTGGGGGTCCCTCAGTGAAGTGCTTAGTTTCCCACATGGTCACCTTGCAGTAAGTTTCACCAGTTGGCACTGCCCATGCAACCTCATGGAGCTGTCCATCAATCCTCCAGAGACCTCTTTTCATTATGAATTGACTTAAAAATTATTAGTAACAGCATCAGGGAGAAGAGATTTTATCCAAGAAGACAAAGGAAATGCAAAAAAAAAAAAAAAAGGATAGGATCAAAGCAGAGCACATAAATTTTTAAAAATAATGCGAAATTTGGAAGGTGAAAACTCTCAGAAAGTCAAACAAGATTAACAGATTAAAAATGGCATTGTGGGGCAGCAGGTAAAGCTGCCATCTGCAGTGCTGGCATCACATATGGGCACTGGTTTGAGTCCTGGCTGCTCCACTTCTGATCCAGCTCCCTGCTAATACACCTGGGAAGGCAGCAGAGGATGGCCCAAGTGCTTGGGCCCTGCACCCATGTGGGAGATATGGAGGAAGCTCCTGGCTCCTGGCTTCAGTCTAGCCCAGCCCTGGCCATTGTGACTATTTGGGGTGTGAACCAGTGGATGGAAGATCTCTCTCTCTCTCTCTCTCTCTCTCTCTCTCTGTAAATCTACCTTTCAAATAAATACAATTAATCTTTTAAGAATATAGGATAGAAAGATAAGAAAATTGGAGGATCTCTCTAGAATGTCTATCACTTAAATAGTAAGAATTCCAAGAAGAGAAAAATGGAGAAAATGCAAGGAAAGCACTCTTCACCAAAGTAATACAATAAAATCCCCAGAACTGCAATCATGAGTTTACTTGTCTGAATCCACCATGTGTTCAACATCATAAATGACTAAGAGACTCACATGGGGGCAGAATACTGTTAAAGAATGCCAAGGATAAAGAAGACATAATGAAAATTCCCAGAAAAAGAAAAATGGAAAGCAAGCAAGCACAAAGCATGCATAAAAGATCAGGATAAGCTCTCTGCTATGGCCTGGGAAAGCAGTAGAAGATGGCCCAAGTGCTTGGGCCCCTGCACCCCTGTGGGAAACCTGGAAGAAGCTCCTGGCTCCTAGTTTTGGATCGGTGTAACTCTGGCCATTGCAGCCATTTCAGGAGTGGACCAGCTATCTAAGATTTCTCTCTCTGTGTCTCTCCCTCTCTCTGTAACTCTGCCTGTTAAGTAAAAAATAAATCTTTTTTTTTTCTTCAAAGATCAGGATACAGGATGGCAATGGATTTCTCATCAGCAGCTCTGCGAAGCTGACTTTGCTGACTGTGGAATTCTATACCCAGCCAAAGTATCAATCAAGGGTGGGCTTTTCAGCAGCAACACTGGATGCTGGGAGCAAAGAAACAACAACTTCCAAATTCTGCAGAAAGGTGAATTGTGAAACTGAATTAATACTCAGCCAAAAAACAATCCGGCAGGAGCTGTAAAGACATTCTAAAAATGCAAATTTGCCTTTTTTTGTTTCAGGATGCTTTTGAAGGACTATGCTTTGGAAATGAGGGAGTCTGTGAAGAAAGAGGAAGGCGTGGAGCCCACAAAGGGAACGAAGAAGAAACTGGAGTGATTCTGACACTGAGGAAAGAGATGCCAGGATTCCTGCAGGGTCCAGGCACGGTCCATCAGCTCTCCCTGCCTGCGGACTCTAGCTCCCTAGCTGGTGCTGCAGATCCAGAACAGCTCACCGAGTCCCCTTCCAGCCCCATCTGGCTTCCTCACTACCTCACCCACTGCAGATCCTGAGCCACCTCCTGTTCCCTCCACTGGGCAAACAGAGACTTCTGGCTCCTTCCATGCCTTGTAGAAATTTAGGAGGATGGGCCTGCTGTTACCTATTGTCTTGAGTTGAATGCCCCACCCTAGTTGTTCCATCTTCTTCGTGTTTTTTTTTTTTTTCAATTTGCAAGGGTGGAGACCAGATAGGTTGATAGATAGGAATATACTCCCGCATGGACTCACCCCCGAGATGTTCACCATGGGCTGGAGTCAGGAGCCTGGCTTTCAATCCAGATCTCCCACACGGAGACCACCACTGAGACAACCACTGGTGAGAAGCTGCAGTCAGGAGCCAGATCCAGGAACTGAACCCTGAGCACTCGGGATACGGGTGTCTGAGCCGGCAGGCTACAAGCTTGATCCCCCTCATCTTATAAACAGGATGATAACAAGACCAGTTTGAGATTTGCATGCGTTAATATTTGCAAAGCACTAAGAGTGGCATCCGGCATACAGCTATGCCATATCAGTATTTATTAATATGTTATATAATGATGTGAAGATGAACTTATAGTAGGCTGGAAATCTGTAGCTTTGAACTTCAGCTACTGTTGGATCCGTCAGCTCCTGACGGTCATATATGCAGGCTACCCCAAATGCCTTTTCCTTGAGGCATATCTACCCATGCCAACTTAAGTCTCCCCACCCCGATTCCTGCTGAGCACACGTCAGCAGCTGCCCACTGTTTGGAGAAAGAAGTCAGGCTCTCTTCCCCAGCCCACTAGGATTCCCCCGGCCGGCCTCCCCAGGGTCTCTTCAAACCCACCCCTCTCTCCTGCCCATCCTCCAGCCCCGAGAGGCCTTTCATGAACCCTGCTTCCTCTGGTCTCCGGATCTCACCCATGCTCTTCCTCCTGCCTGGCTTCCTCTTCTGGCTAACGTGCCGTTGTTCCATTAGCTGCTTCCCACAGAGCCCTTGCAACATCGTTGACCTTAGCAGGCCACGGCTCCTGCGAAGACGCCTTCTCTGAACTCGTGGGAGGGGAGCTAGCCCGAGACGGAGTCTCGCAGCCCCGGGTCAGGTTGCTCACACATCCAGCATGGCATCTGCACTTGTTTGTGTCGCCCACCCAGCCATTCATCCTTTCAACACAGCCTACTGAGTGTCTATTGTCTCCTGGGGCCTTAACCATGCAGCACTGAACCACATAGACAGAGGCCCTGGCCCTTGGCAAACACGGAGCGGCTATTCGATGTCTTTGTCTCGTTAACCAGCCGCAGCATCAGGGCAGGCATCCTGTTTGCTTCTTTGCTCACCACTGCATGCCTGGTGTCTAAAACCGACCCGGCAGACGGCAGGCCTGGGTACACGGCTGTAGAGAAATCAGCCCGAGGAACGTGGCTGCTTTCCCTGAGAGAACAGGGGACGGGGGCACCTGCTGTGCACTCGGCGATCTCTTCAGGCCTCCTCCAAGCGCTGCCAGGAAGCAGAGGTGCTGACAGCAGTTTAGCAAGAGGGCAAAGGAGGAAAAGAGAGGCCGCGCCCAGGCAGATGCTTGCTGCGGTTTCCTTGGCGAGTGGTCCTCCCCCCATCGCCTGCTCCGGGCCCCTGCTACTCTGGCCGCAGAACCAGGCCAGCCTTGCAGATCCACAGAGGAAGAGGGGGCTGGGCAGGACGCTGGTGAGCGGGCTAGCCTGTGACTCATCTGGAGAAGCGGTGTCAGGCCTGGCGGTGCACCCCAGGCGTGTTGGTGTCTCGCTTCCCCACAGGCATTCAGCCCCTTCATTTCACCCTGAGGTTTAGGGCTTCCCCTAGAGCTCTGGGTAAGCAAGCGCGGCCGGGGTGCTTTGCATAAGCGTGGGAAGTCTTGGAAGTAGAAAAAGAAGATGGGGACTAAAGTGAGGCCACGCTGGGGCGTTGGGGGAGGGCGCCGGTTGTCCCCTTCCTCGAAGAGTCGTCACGCACTCATGCTCCTTGTATGAGTGGATTGCAGAAGAATCTAGCAGTGACACCAAAGCGGTCAGAAGGGTTTTACGCCCCTTGCCCCAGTCCTCACCATCCCCAGTCAGGGGAGAGCTGGGGCAGTGAGGAAGAACTAGAAAGCACAAGGCCCTAGCAAGCTGAGACACAGCAGGCTTAAGCCTAGTACCCAAGCCAGTCCTGGGGCTCCACACAGTGTGAGTTACACAAAAGCTTTTTCCATGAGTTGGAGGAACAGGGGATGTCAAAGCCGAGCCGACCGATTTGGGGTCCAGCTCTGTCACTTTTCTGTGCTGGGCTCCTGTGTTTTTCCTTGAGAAAGGCTCTGCCTGTCTCTGCTGCTCATTTTCACCTTGTATGAAAATCTTCCCTGGCCCCAGAGGGTCACGAGCATCACAGTGGACCGCGCCTTGTACAGGCCAAAAGACTAGCAGGTGCATTTCCATGGCAGGAGCCCTCCCGAACCGTCTTCAGTCAACTCACTGCTAGATTAGCCAGCGAGCCCGGTGCTCATGCCCAGCATACACTAACCCTGTGAATCTAGCAGCTCCCAAGGAAGTCGCTCGCTGATTTTCCTGGACACGTGGGTTCCCATCAGTTAAGCTTGGTGTGCTCACCAAGTGGGACCTGTGCTTGTTCTCAAACTCCACCTGTTACTGATTAAATAATGCAGTTAGACCTTCCGTGATGCAATGACGTATGAATGCGAAAACATTGAGTTGCTTTGTTGCAAGTGAAGGTGAGTGCTTGGGGGAGCATCATACAATAACCGAACAACCTTCTGGTGAATGAATTACACATGGAATTAATTATTAATTACACAGGGAAAGACTGTTTTTGGCTTTCAGTTCTACGTTCACTCCACAGAGGTTACAAATTACCAGTGATGCTTTGTGGGTGTGGTTTATTTGGGAAAGGTAAGCAAATATTCCGAACAGCCAACCCAAAGGGCTTCCCCTTTCTACGACTGTTTCCGTGACAGGGCCCAGCAAGGCTGGGGCCCATCAGATTCTGGAGGGCTTGTCTCATCCATCTACGCCTCTCAGGGAACTCAAACCACAGAGAGCTCTAAGGAACTCAGAGCTGGGGAAGGCTTCTCCGGGTTTGAGCCCGTTGGGTGGAGTGTTTCCCCCATCGTCCCACGGCCGCGGGTGGCTCTGGCTCGCCGTGGACAGCCCCAGTGACTCACCATCAGTGAGGACGGAGCTGGCCTGTCGAGTCGTATTCCGGTAAGCGTGCTTGAGTCACGCTCACCTCCATAGTCTCTGTTCCTTGCAGTGACCTCCTTTACCCCAGGTGGAAAAGCTCCATGGCTCAGCTTTAGCTAAGAAGAAAGCAGGTTGGAGCAGGAAGACGCTAACACGGGAGTGTGAATTAGCGTCTAACATTCTCAAGGCATCCATCTTCCCAGCAGGGTTTGCTCATCCTTTTAGATAACTCTTTATTCTTTCCTGTTCCTCCACTCACCCAACTCTTTATTCCAAAAGATCCACCCTAGACTCCATATCTGCAGATTTCTGGCAAATTCTACCTGATCTTTGCTCAAGTTTATAGGGGAAAATACCTTGGATGAGACAAACTCTCATCCTAAACACTTCCAACTCTTGAGAATTTGGCCTACATAATTAACTTTTGGAAAGTTGTGCTTTTCTTAGTTGTATAATAGGACTCAAAATAGCTCATCGTGATGGTTCATTCATTCAGTACTTTTTTAGTAACTGCCATGTGCCCAGTCAAGCACTGTGCTGCTTTGGTGCTGTGAGATGTTACAGGGAAGACTGGGGGCCTTCTGGGGTTACCAGCAATGAAACTCTGCTGGCGAGCCAAGGGCTGGAGCACCACTGGCCATCGTTTTCTGCAGAAGATCAGAGAGTAAATATTTTTAACTTTTTTTGCCACTGTAATACAAAAGTAGCCACAAGCAATACATAAATGAGTGGACGGGGCCATGTTTCAGTAACATTTCACAAAAACAGACAGTAGCTCGGCCGGATTTGGCCTGCGGGTGGTAACGTGCCTGCATCTGGACTGAAGATTAGCATTTTTGGACTGAGGGCCAGTTTTGGATCATTCCAAAATGGTGGCTTCCAATACCCCCTTGGTGGGCTCAGCCTCAAATGCTGGGAGTTCTTCTAGAGGGTCCTGAATGCCTTTCTCAGCCTCCACTGAGTGTCATTCCTCTCGCTTACTTACAGCTGCCCATGTTAGATATCGAGCTGGCTTAGCTGACTCCCAGCCTGCTTCCTAGTGGCAAAGTAGGAATTCAGTAGTGTCTAGTGGTCCCTTATAACACACACAGCAAAATGTCAAAGAGAAAATTAGTCTTACATGCCCAGGGTGTGGGGACAGAGTCACATCTCTGGGCTTCTGTTGGCCTCTCTTGAAATGAGAGGTTGGATTAGTGGTTTCCCAAACTTGAACTCCCACCAAATCAAATCAGGCTGTTTGTCAAAAGTACAGATTCCTAGACCTGGAGTGCGGTACCTTGTCTCAAACTGGCAGAGGTGGCTGGGGCGTACTAGACTATCAGCAAGTACTCAGATGGTTCTGAAGGAAAGCTCAGAATTGGGGTCCTTCTAGTTCTGACATTCAGTGGTTGTCAGGACAGTAAAGGAAGCCCTCCTGCCTCCACTGGGCTGGGCTGGGCTGGGCTGTGGCCGGACGGAGGATGGTGGCGGTGGGGAGTGTTATCTTGTCTGCGAAGGAGGTGGCAGGATGTGGCTGACCTGAACTTCCTGTGAATGGCGGAACCAGAAACAGGGGGAGATTTTTCTCAGCCCGGCAGCAGGCTCAGCCCACAAGCCTAGAAATGTGCTCAGCCTGGCCCCACCTCCTCCTGCGGCCTGAGGTTAGTCACTCCACCTCTCAAAGCCCCAGCTGCCTCTGGCGCAACATGGGGGTGATGGTGGGTTCTTGGTAATGACACCATGAGAAATGAATTAGGTAACACTTGTCAAATATTGGTATCCAGAGTGAGGGTCCCCCTGCACACGTCTGAGCCAAGAGTCAGGAGGCCTGCTTCTGGGACTGAGTTTTATCCGTGACTCCACACTCCATCTTGGAATGGGGGAGATCCTTGACTTTGCTGGGTCCTCCCTTGTTTAACTGTGGAATGGGATGCTGATGCACCTGTGGTCTCCCACTACCCTGCTCAGGACTCTCTTGAAGACTGCATGAGACTGTGGAGCAGCAAGTGTCCTGGTGCTATCAGAGACAGTACACATGCCCCGGGTGGGAGGGCTGCTGCCTTGTATAATGTCCTCGCTTTCCATCAGTTCTTTTTAAGTCAGAGGAGGAAAGAAAGCAGACTCTCGGAAGACATTCTCATCAGATGCAACTTTCTCGCTTTGATTCATTTGCCTCTAAGTTTATTAACCCATGAAGGAATGATCACTGGATACTAACAGGGAAAGGATTTAGAGATATGTCACTGGGTCTCTAACCAGGGGAGACTCACAGTCTGGCTTGGAAGCTGTCACATGCATAGATGGG